TACTATTGAGACACTAGGCTTTCAAGGCCCAGCCCATAAATCTGTGTACACACTGTCTATAAATCTGGAGCCTCCTCACCAAGAAATTTTGTGTGTTCAAATCCCACTGACTTTAATGACAGCTCCTGCTACAAATCAAACACAGGATTATTTATATTATTTTGGTCAAAGAAAACTATGCCATTCAATCAATGTGAGAACAATTTGAAAACTGGTGTACACAAAATTCATATCCTACAATACAAATTCTCAAATAACCATGTTATTGATCCCTCTAAACTGGGTTTCTGCTAACAATAGTGGAATTGTGATTACATGAATCCACAGCAAACCACAGCATGAAAATCTCTACCACTTCCAATCCATCACCATTAATTTTTCTTCCCTCCCCTAAAGCTGTGAAAATGACAGAAGAATCCTGTCTTCTTCCTTTGATGTAGAAACCTGTTTGGTTGCATTTTGAGATCTTTGCTGTCATGAATTAAAAGCGGACCCCAAAATTTCCTTAAGAATACAAATTAGCCACCTTCTAGAACATAATTACAGTTCAAGAACACTCTCACATTACTATTGCCCCTTCAGTTACCTTCACAAATACCAGATGAAAAAAATGTCCAGTTAAATGGGAATCTCAAAGAATATATACATCATCTGAGACATCCTGTCTCATTTAACTGTCAACAGTATATTGGAAAGGACCTTCAATGCTAACTGCTATACTCATTGGTCACAAAACTGCAAGTAACAGTGAAACTCTATTTAGTACTAATTTAAGCCTGACTGACCAAGAAGCCCAAAGCAAAATTCCATCTCTAAAATCATCCTTTTGGAAATAAAAAAGAGGCTTTAACCGTGATGTGAATTTGTGAGGTATATATCCACCTATTTCATTCTCACACAAGAGAATGAAAATATTCAAAAGTTTTCTCCCCACTGGACAAGACTGAGAGTTTTGCTCTCTCTCTCTGTCTGTCTCTCTCTCTCTCTCTTTTGGATGAGATTTGACATTTGGAAGCAAAACTTTAATGAAAGCCTTTTGCACTAAAACACCACCACTTTGAGCATAAAACATTGTATTCATGCAATATACAACATTTCAAGCTAAAAACAGTATTTATGACCAAAACTAGTGTGCTTCTGCACTGTGTTCTGTATAATGACTGAAGAGAACAGTAAATCTCTTCTCTGTTAACAGCCTCTTCTGGAAACAGTTTTGCAAATATAATTTCCTATTGCCTATAAAATTCATCATCTGTCATTTCTGAAGGAGTGACCAGGTGTTTCTCAATTTCCATGCAGATTTGGAATAGGAAAAGCAAAAATCTCCAATGTTTTCTTAAGCATATAATTGTATAAATAGCCTGATTTTTCTTGTTGTTTGTTCCTTTTTAACTTTTGTAGTAAATTTCCTGGCCTGTAAAGAACACTGTTGTTGTAACTGCAAAAACTAATCTGGAAAATACAAAATCCTCTGAAGCCAGCAACACTAGTTTCTCATCAGTAACACTGGTTTACCAAATCAATCTTTCACATGAAGAATTAGAAAATTTGTGAAGATTCTTTACCTAATGTGAATATGGTGTGTGGGTATGTGAGAGAGTGTGGGGGATGTGTGTGAGAGAGTGAGCGAGGGGGGTGTTTCCCTCTGACAAAAGCGATATCCTTCATAGTTAACCAGTTGGGAATATGTGGACAATGACACTGTAGTACCTTTGGATGTTATATGGTTCTGTTACAATAAAGATGCAAAGAACACTTTAAATTGTCTTGTCCTTGATTAGACAGTGTGTATCAACATATCAAGAAAATAATCTACCAATATGGTATTTTTCACATTTGGGGGCATTTTGTGAAAGATTTGTAAGGAGAAATAGATTTTGTACAGTAATAATTATTTCTTTATTTTGCACAAAACACAGTTTTCTGCATGAATATTTTGTTTTGTGAAGAAAAAATTTTTTAGCAGAAAATGGCATTTTTGTGCAAATGTTTTTCACACACACCCCAAGTGTGACACGTAACTCAAAAACACACAAAAGCTCTCTCGTGAGATGCTTAATCCAGGCCAGTCCAGAGCCCCAGACTGGCCCCAGAGTGACCACTGGGTCAAAACTGGTGATACACTCTGCCATTGTGCACATGGGCCAGCCAGGCCAATGTGCATAAGCCCTGCTGTTTTTGGAGTCACCACCACCACTTTCTTCTGGACAGGAGCTTCATCTAAAGTCTACCTTGTGTGCTGGCACTTCTGCTGAGGTCAGAAATGCCCATCTGTGATCAATAAAGAGTCCAGATGGTTGTTTCTGATTTCAATGGAAGCAGCACTGCACTGGGCAGGCTTTACTCCTGCTTGGAAAGAAGTGGCGGCAGCAGCTCTGAAAACAGGCCATCCCTTTCCCTGCACTGCTCAGCATAGGGAAGGGGGATGGCATAGGTCTTAGTGTCTGAATAACTGGATTGGACCAAACTGGAACCAATCCAGGTATCCACATGACAAAAGAACCTGAGGTCACTCCAAAGTTTCTGGGAAATACTGCGATTTCCTCCAACTTTGCTTAGTTTAGCAAAGTCGAGTTAAGGGCAGAAAAATACACTCTCCCCAGAAATACCATATATTATCAGTACTGCCAGCACCAGCTTCAGGGTAAGTGTTTTTCATTGGTGTAGACAAGCTTTTACCCATCGGGGGAGGGGAGTGGGGATCTAAATTCTTATAAACAAAAACAAATTAAGGAAAGAGCTGCATCCAAACTGTTAGAAAGATCCAGATACAAATAAAATTTTGCATGCTCCAAAATATCCTACACATGGCACTATTCCAAAGCTTTGGAAGAGGAAGAATAGGACTCAACCATACATACATACACACACATAGTAAAAGTATGCAGCTAGCTAGGAGAATACCTTGACCAAAGAGAACTGGCATCACAGACCTGCTCCATATTCTCCTGAGCAAATTTTCCAAAGGGAACTTCCACTTTGGAGCAGAAATCATCAATAGAGATCTAGTGGCAAAGAGGAAACTGGTAAACCTCAGGTAAGATTTCAGTCAGAGTTCATACAGTCTTTGTCCAAACCTCCTCAAATAAACAGGTTGATGATACTCCTCATCCAAAGCTTGGAATAGTTACTTTCTGAACTACAGTTCTCAAAATGTCACAGCCAAAAATCCCCAAAAGTAGCACTTCCAAGCTATGGTTCCCACTACAGTTTGCCATTTGTCTTGCAAATTAACTTAAAGGTGTTGTTGTTGTTGTTGTTGTTGTTGTTGTTGTGTGCCTCCTATTTGTTTCCAGCTTATGGCAACACTAAGATTAACTTATCATGGAGTTTTTTGGCAAGATTTGTTCAGAGGAGGTTTACCATTGCCTTCTTCTGAGGCTGAGAATGTATTACTTGCCCAAGGTCACTCAGTGGGATTCATGGCTCAAACTGGGATTTGAATCCTGGTCTCCAAAGCCCTAGTCTAACACTCAAACCACTACACCATGCTGGCTCACAAATCACAAATGTGTTGATGAAGGCTAATTCTACAAGTTGGGATCAATATTGTGATTGATCCAATTTTCAGTGAAGCCAAGGAGGTTTCTCTTTCTTTCAGTCTAGATACAGACCATTTTAGGAGATCTCCAAGAAAATCACATGCCACATTTCTGTAAATGAAGATTACATCACTGGAGTCAGAGAGAGGGAAGGGAGCTCTCAGTCAGAAATCAAGGCTTTATTCTATTCTAATCAAAAATAAATAGTAATTTTCTATAAAAAGTTCATCAGGTTTTGTTTATAATTCACAACAGACACAAATCAGCAAATTTAATACATGCAAGGCCCAATAATTTCAACACATATACAACTTCTCCCCTGCTTTAATTCCATGTACCTTTAAAATGAGTAATTTTTGCTGGATTGTGCCCCAAGCAATTTAGTGGGGAAAGTGGTAATTTTTTTATTTGTGGCAGCAGAATCTACATGTTAGCTTCCACTGCAGTTTTAAAAGTACACAAGCGGGTGAAGAGAGGAATGGCCCATAGATGACACTGGCAGGACTAAGACAGGAGAAACACTATTGGACCTGAGGGTCCTATGGGAAGATCAAGACCCAAAATGTCTCCTCCAGGCAGTTCCCCATCTTTTCAACAGGCAGGGAATAACTATGCTAGTATTGGAATTCTTGGAGTTGTAATGCAATAACTTTTCCAACTTCTGCTTATGGATTGGAAACTTGTTTATTTGTGTAAGTGGGTGTTGGAGGGCAAATTCAGGATTTAGTGGACAATTATTTAAGCTTCACAGTAATTTTCCATTTCCATGATAAAAGTGTATACTTATAAAGGAGGAGAGGAAGTACTAAGATGAAAATGCCATCATTATCCTAGGGTTGCAGTTGCCTAGTCAGTTACTGGGAACTGAACAATCAGTGGTTGCCTGCCACCTCCTCAGCTCTTCAAAAGAAAGAAAGAAAGAGAAAAAAAAACGGGCATCCTTCCAAGTTCTGGATTAGGTATTACATGAATAGCCTGATTTTACCAGATTCTGGGCCTATTCATCAGCAGACCCAGAAGCAGTTCTGGTCTACCTGCCCAACTTTGCCTCCCATATCCCTGTGACATAACAAGGCCCCATCCTATCATCTCAGGATTTAGCACTGAAATTTTACAGATTGGGATGCTGCTGACTTGGTAACCGCAGAATAGATCATGATTGTATGTTATTCTGACAGTATGTTGACTCTGATTTTCCATACAAAAGTCAAAGCAAAGACATGTTAGATAAATCATTCGTACTTACAGAAACTTTACCTAGTGCAGAATTTGGGAAATTGCCCACTTTTATAACCACAGCTCAGCCCAAGAAAGTAATATTTTCAAATTCTAACCTAATACTACTAAAAGTTCTCGGCCTGTTTTTTCTGAAATGCACTCATTGTTTTTGTAATTAGCATAAATGCAAGACCTATTTGCAATGTAAATCTTTTATATTGTTATAATAAAGTTATTATTTCACTTGACCATTGCTTAACAGTATCTAACATTTGGCTGGTCATTTAAGCAACTCACTCTGACTGGTCAAAGGCCCAAATCTATCACCTCATTCCTCCAATGCCTTTAAATCAGCTGGTGATAGGCGTAGCTGAAGGGCATCCATTATCAAAGATTTGGAATATTGGCTACCAAAACTTCTATTATGAAATTCTCCATCTGGTCAGATCTCCCTCAGCTTTTAGAATGTGTGTGTGTTGTGTTCAAGTCACCCATTGAGTTAAGCGACCGCATTAATTTCATAGAGTTTTCTTAGGCAAGGAATATTCTGAGATGGGTTTTGCCATTATTTCCTCTGAAATATAGCATCTGATATTCACTGGTGGCCTACTATTCAAGTATTAACCAGGACTAGTCCTGCCTAGCTTCCAAGAACA